TTTTTGGAGTTGACGAGTGACGATGCAATCGTCAATTAGGGTTCAAGTATTAGGGTTCAACCCCTTTTTTGTGGCAAACAAGAAATATTTCTTGTGCAATCCAATGCTGATTTTCATAAACACAAAGAAAGTGCAAGAAAATGCATATAACAATTCCATCGTCGATGCATACAATGCATAATGCGAAGTTAGTGTTATTTTCAAATATTCATCTATTGCAAGGAGTTGAGGTGAGTTGAGAAAAATGTTGAGAAAGTATAAAACATTTGCGGAATTTCATAACATTCATCTATTTCAAATATCCATCTATTCATCTAAAATTGTCTGCATATTGAACTGCTTTCGTAAGCACGATAAGGCGTTTGGGTTGAACGCAAAAACAAGGGTTTGAATCTCTTCAAGGATAGTGAAATTTTGTACTAAAAGAATCTACACATTCTTTTAAGAATCATCATCATAAGTTTGTCCCAAATTATTTTGCGATGTAAAATCCTATAAAAATTTTTTTCATGTGCACTATCTTTCCCTCTATTTAATAACATCCACACCACAAATCGAACCATTTATTCGTATTAGTTCCATGACCATTTCATCAGTCAAGTTAATTGCAATGCGGCAATTTTCTTTTTCCTGTCTTAGTCGTTGAAGTTATTCTTGAATTTCTTCTAGTTGCAGTATAAAAAATAATAAATTGCCAATAATTCAATTGAAATTAACAAATCAAACAAACACAACGAAATGTCTTTATTCACAAAACAACGAAATTACAATAAAACTATCATCATAGAGTTCGATCAGCAAAAAACTTCAGTACAGCACTTTAAAATACTTCTTCTCATCATTCATTCCAAGGCAGCAGGCACTGTTGGGTATCAAGCTCATTCGAACACCTCATAAAATCAAATTTCACTGAATCTTTATTCGATCATGATGGTGAAAAAATGAAAACAAAACAAGAATACTTGAAAAACTGGACGATTATTCAATGTCATTTAACGAGTTCTATAAAAATCTCAAAATAAAAACATGGAGAGATAAAAAGTCAGTTGCGATATCCTTCGTTAATTCTTCACACGGATTGTTCATGATAATCATATGCTTTCGGAAGTTTGAGCACTAGGAAGAGTGCTCGCGTGGAATAGTATCAATTCTCGCTGATCGCTTCTTCAGGATGCTTATACTGAAAATTCCAACGGAAGTATAGAAGTCAATTTGGAAGAATGAAGAAAAAATTTACAAAAAAACACGCAAAATGAAGAATTTTCATAACATTTGGAAACCGCTTTTCGATTTCGAACGCAAAAATTCAAAATTGGAAGCCCTACAAATTCCTTTCACAAAGAATTTTGCCATGCAAAATGATCAATTGAAATTCTATCAATGAACATATGAGTTTCTTATGAGATCTTCTTCAATATCATACTTTTATTGCTTTTTATTTGTAATTACTTTAATACTTTTTATTAGTATCAATTTTGTCACAGCTTCAACGGTTATTTCCGAGTGGTGGAAGTCGGAATTTCTGGTTCATTTTTACACTTTTTGAATAAGAAACGCAAAAAATACCTGGTAGTGAGCAATCCTGGACAGTTGTATAAAGCCGATAGCGCCAACGCTTGAACAAACACTGGCCAAATAATAATTTATTGGTGTTATCACAAACGAATATCGTGTCCATATTGCACCGGTCACCAATAGTGCTGTATTCTAAAATTCAATTTCGTAGTGATTCAATTGATTGCACTGATTTGAAATTGTCATCATCAGCATTTTTTGAAGATTTTCGGTACTGAAGTTATTTTCTCTTGCGTCATTGTACTGATATATTTCTTGTCATACATATTCCTCTATTTTTCCCAAACCCCAAATTCAGATGTACTGTCGCGACGGAGCCAAGAACAATACGATTCATCGGGGAGACAGACCAACGGTGACCTAGGTAAGAATATCAACCTTTCGCTTTTACCTTGACTGTTTATGTTCAAGAAAGGATACAAGTACACGGATGGATATAACACATGCATGATGAAATAGAATATTTTCATGTACTGTTTGTTATTGGATGATTATATTATCCCTTTGTGCTTCTTGCATGCTCATCTTATACTGCCTTATTGATCCGCATGATGAAATGGAACTTTCGTATGTGCTGCTTGGATGATTTTATCCCTTTGTGCTCATACGATATTAATCCTTTGTTTGTGTTTGAATAATATGAATCAGTGTTATTGCAAATAAACGCCGAAACGCTATGGATTAATTGCTATTAATATTTTATAATAATCAGTCAATGCTCCAGAAGCTATGCTTAAAAGCAATGAACCACGATCCTTGGAACATCCATTGCACGTTTGAACTTCAAATAGCACCTAACTGTCATTAGCTGTTTACCTAACCGGTGGAATAGAGTTCAAAATTTAACTGAAGCAATCCTTTGAAACAGTCAGTGCAGAAAAAGTATCTGCTTCACAACAAAACGATAAACTTGTGCAGATAACGAATGCTCTTCGTATGTAGCGATAAGCAGCAAATAAAATTTTCGTCATCAATGAATCAAAAAACTG